GAAGCAATGTGAGACATGGATTAGCCCATCTGCATCCTAGGCATGTTTGCCAAAAATTTAACAGATATAGCAAATATAATTTCATGTAACAACCAGAAATTAGAGCCCCATTGTTCGTTCCATTTTTGTTAGTGTTTTCGTGTTTATTTTGCATTCATTTTTTTTCCCACTCTAGGTTATTTTCTTTGTTTCTTGGTCCATTTTGTGTCGTGTCGCGTGTTTTCTTTATTTTGCTCGCTCTTGGTTTTTCTTGTGTCTTTTTCTCGATTTTCTACATTTTTCTTGTCGGTGGTGGCTTACAGGTCAGGTAGTTCGATTGGAAAGTGACTATGCGAAGATAACTATCTAGGCGGACGAGTTGGGGTCGAGTAGGAAAAGACGGAATCCAATTCCGAGCCCGAATGCGTTGATACGAGTCCGGAAATCACGTGCCCAGCTCCCAATTTTACTCACCGCGGCCGCGGGAGATGGAGTCGCGGCCGCGGGATGCCCGATGACAACACAGGCGACAGAGCTGAAAAGTCGCGGCCGCGGGATGAAGTCGCGGCCGCGGACCTTCCCTTCACCGCGGCCGCGGGACATGTCGCGGCCGCGGAGTGCGCGTTTCCAGCAGTCTAAAGTAGCAGTTTTCTTTTATTTTGGGGGTCAATTTTTGAACGCTAGGTTTTGAATTCCCTCAGTACTTGTCTCGAAAAACTCATACTTTTCTTCAGATTTGATCTTGTGATTCAATCTTGGAGAGAAAAACTCCAAGATTCGACTTGTGGATTCGGTTTGCTCTTGTTTTCGACATTGGATTTGTTAATCGTAAGCTTTCTTTTAGTTCTATTATTGATTGAATGGCTTTGATTATGATGTTTGCTGATGTTGAATGCATAATGAGTAACTAAACCCATTAGCTAGGGTTAGGGGAAGATCATTCCGGTTCGATTTCGTTTATATGCATGATAATTGCTCAATCCTCTCGAGTTGTGCTTAGCCTAGGGTTTTGATGTTTGATCACCATCTTAATCTAGTTAATCGATTTTATAACTGAAAAGGGAGAAATCGTTCGATCTAGGCTCGTTAGGAGTAAGCTTGTTCGTAATAGTATTGCTTATGTGTTGATTGTCTCAAGAATTACTCGTTTATGTCTATCCTCTTGTTACGAAGAGTTATTGAGGATAGATCTCTAGATGAATAGTTTTGTGAGGCCTTTAACTGAGCTTTTGATTGCTCTTTAACTGCATTGAGAACCGGAATTGATTGACCCTGATACCCTAGCTCCATTATAATTGATTGAGTTTGAACTTGAGATTCCTAGTTTCGTCTAGTTTTTCTTATTGCTTGTTCTTTAATTCGTAGTTAATTAATATTAAACCAAACCAATCGAATTTAAGTGTTTAGGACCCTTTCTTTTATTATTTGGAGTGATTGAATATACGTACAGAATACTCCGGCTATCCTTCCCCGTGATACGACCCGGTGTCGAATCTTTGGATTCTACTCCGGTTAAAATTATTTACAACACCCATCATCCTTAAGTCCAAAATATTTAACAAGATTGTCTGAATATCATCAATATCATCATACATATGCAGATGATGCTAAAAGGTAAGAAGATTATTACAGCAGGTATTTAAGTGAGCAAGCTGCCAAAATGTACAGATACATCTGAAAAACAACCCAATACAATGTTTATCCAGGCCATCTTAGTCCCTTGTACTGTTCTTAATCCACTCCAAGTACTGTAAATTGCCACCAGTTATAGGCAACGCAATCACCTCAGGAACCCTATGAAAACAATAACGGTATGTTATATCGAGAAATTGAGAATAACCAAATAATAACTGTGACTGCTGCTTTTATAAACAAACAACAGAAGTTAAATAACTATAGCTTTTGGATCATTTTATCATTAAATAAAAAATGCCAATAAAATTACAAACATGAACAGGAGCACAAGATGCAGGCAAAAGAGTTGAAGGTCTCAACGATAGAAAAATAATAAATATATACATTTTACCGGGGCTTGTCGGTGTGACAACACTAGTAGCTCTCAACAAGATCTTGTATTTAGTATTCAGTACCCAACTAAAATAATCAAGTGTTGAGTCCCCAACATATATATCCTGCCACTATCTGATACAGTTCCATTATCCGTTTTTATCATACCACTTCACAGATTATGACCCATTTTCCGGTAAGTAGGAATGGATTCAAGTACTCACTCATATTCATGATTGTTTTTCACATGTGCTGTTAATGCTTCTAGAAGAGACTCCCGGGTCTTGATTATAAGCAACTCTTCAGAATCAGTTTGTATCTGTTTGCATAGAAAACAACCACAAACATAAATTTTCTGTAACTTATGAACAAGTTCAGTGATCTAGCCTAGCACTGGCCTTGGAGCAAAAACAATACTCCTCATTCTAAGAACACATTCATAGACAAATAAATAAACAAACAAATATAAAGCTCATCATATTTATTTTTACCTCTCCCTTCCACTCATAAACTGATTCAACACCTGCATATAAAAGTCACAGAATTAATTTGCATCACAGAGGCACAATTCCAAGATGAAAACAGCTCAATCTAATAATAGGTGACCTCAAAAGTAGTCAAACCATGATTCTAAATAAATAATGTGCATCATTCAAAAGGATCAGAACCATAACAATTTACTCAAACAGAAGAAGCACCGACCTGGTACTCGATTAACACAGGCTGCAAGACGTTCCTTGACTATGCTTTCGGCAAGTTTTTTCCCTGCACCGAATTCCAGGAAAAAAGATCAATAACTAGGTTTTTGCATAAGTTTCAAGCCCTCATCATCCATGATTTCATTTTTTTTTTTTTTTTCTTACAAGTCCTTACCTAATACTAAAACTACAAACAATCAAAAAACATTTCCTAGATACTTATACAGACCATAAGTAAAAGGATGGGAATAAACCTGCTTCCTTATTTGGAACAGTAACATAAACAACAATGCTGGGCACTGTGATCTTGTCAGCTTCCATCCTTGTGCTATAGACTTTATTTATTCGAGCTTGTTGACCAAACCTTGACCTATGGATAATTGGATATCGAGGAAAAATATCAACTATAGCCTTTGGGTGTAATGTTTATCACTTAGAATGTAACCATCAAAAGATGAACAAGGGAGAGTAACTGAGCAAACAAAGTAGATATTAGTCGGTCAATATAAGCAAAGTAAAAGTTACCGTAAAAGAGGAACAAAAGGGAGAGAGTGAGCACACCCTGTTCTAGGGGATAGAGTAATAGAGCAGAGATTGGAAAGACCGAAACTAAGCACACAAAAAGCACCAACGAGGGGAAGCCGCCGGCAGACCACTGTGGAGGAGACAACGGATGAAAGTCTTAATGCCATGAGAAATTTTTGCAATTTGGTTTGGCTTTTTTATAGGGGGTTAGTATTACCTGATACCACAAGCAAGCACTACACACTTAGATTCCCAAGAAAACAAAGGTACAATGGTGTTCTAAGTTAGTATTCAATTACTCATGTGTTCCAATCAGACAATACAGAACAATAAGCTATTCGAAAATGCGAAAAACTGCTGCTGATTTAAAAGAAATGGAAGACAAATGAAGAACTCCACCCTCTCTTTAGAATTCAAATTGAAATTGAGTAAAGAACAAGGGCTCACATTTCACTTTCAAATTCAGTTCCTTGGTACCAAAAATCATCAGTAACTCCAAGAATCTGTCACTTTGGGACAACACTCAACAGGTAACAGATGAAAGAAATAATCAACAATTTAACACTCACTCTTTAACATCATCCAAAGAACAGCAACTCCTCGATTTAAATGAAATCAGCACACTATGAGATTCACCTTAAAATTAACCTAGTTAACTGCAAATAATCGCTAATGAATATGAAATATGAGATCGGTGTACTGTGTTCTGACCTGAGAACTGAGAAGGGTGGGTCTGAGGGCTGTTGGCTCGTAAGAAGTATTTTTCGTTCTTTTTATATGCCCACATCACAAAATCTGAGATTCAGCCGGTGGCATCGAATTAACCCAAAATCAGTCATTTTGTATGCCAATTAGGGCACGTTGAGTTTATGAAATAATTTGTTCAAATGAGTCGTTTTGATTAACTATAATTAAATCATTTTAAAGTGGTTCTATTTTATCCACTGGAATTGGTTTTTTAATATATGTTTTATACTTTGATGCTCTCTATTTTAGCGAGGATAGATTCTCAATTTCTTACTCAAGCTCATATAAGAAAACTTATCATCTTCTGCTTAATTTTTTAATTTTAAACTTTCGTTTTTTGCTCATCTCATCATCTTGGTCATTGGTCAGGCACATTTTTTTGGCTAGTCTGCCCACTTCTTTTTTTCTTTTTTCTTTTTTTTTTTGTTGACCTTTTTCTTGTGGAAATTAGATGTTGAGTCAATTATGTAATTTGGTTTCGTTCTTGCTCGGTTAAAGATGTGTTCCGACTTATCTTAACTCTCCTAATTGTCTCGTTTCTGTTACCGATTTCCATTCCTAACATGACTCTCATTTTGTAGGTGACGTTGACTTAGTGTGGCCACCTCAGATCGAAGCATAAATAGCTTGATTGTTGTTTAGTTATGATTAGTCTACTCAGATCAAATGTTCAACTTGGTTGTTTTTTGTGGACTTTGTGCATGGGATCTGTGTCCCCAAGATAGCAATGTAGCTTGGTTTGAATACCTAGTTGATCTTGCATTCTCGTCTTCTTTGTGCCACATCAGATTGACACTCGTCGATGGTCTTCAACCTCGTGTGTGGTGCAAAACGATTTGGGTTTGAGATCATTCTATAGGAGCATATTTATGTTGTGGCCCTTATAAACTAGTATGAAAATCTCTCCATCGAGTATATACTAGTTGCTTCGTTGAAATTCAATTCTTGAATTCACTAAGGCTAATGATGAGAGGTGCAACAAATAGTTGGGTCAGTGTCCTCTTGAATGGTCCTTTAGTTTTGCTAGGGTTCATGTTGATTAAGGTCGATTCTCCTTTAGCCTTCATTTGACTGAGGCCTCCTTGGTTGGCTCACCCTGCTATACATTTTTAGTTTTTGTCATCGTACTTTTTGATTCTAAATTAATTTTGTCGCATCTTATTAAATATCACCCTATGCCCCCTGAGCTCGGGTCGTGGTCGTGAAACTTTAACTAGTGAGACGATGCACATCTGTTGGTTCGATCTTGCCTTTTGTTTAGGTAGGAATTTATGTTAAGTTCATTCCTCAATTTGTTTATTTTGTGGCCTCAGTTACTTGTTTCGAGTTTGTCTCTTTTTTATGTCAGATAGGTTTTTTAGTAGCATCCCGAGTTTAGAATTCGCCAACTGTTGAGTATTTTTAGAGAAGTTTTGTGAAAATTTTACTCTGATACTAGTAAGATAGCGGGGTGTTACAGTTGATTATGTAATTATACTCAAGGTAATACCCAGACCGACGATCAATTTTCGTGTACCATATTGCTTGAGCCAACTTGTCAAACAAGTCCAAAGCATTGGAATTGGATACTTGTTCTTAATGGTGACTTTGTTCAGTGCCCGATAGTCCACACACATACGCATCGATCCATCTTGCTTCTGCTGAAACAACATCGGGGAACCGTATGGGGCTTTTGAGGGTTGTATCAACCCGACACCCAGTAACTCATCCAATTGCTTTCACGTTGAGCTTTAGTGAGCCTATTTGGCTAAAGTTTTGCGTGATTGATGTCAACAATGCAATAAATGATATTATCTGCTCGAGTCGAGTTGGTCCTAGGTCTATATTAGGGGCTTCTAAGCTCGGCCTACACCGACCAATCATCAAGTTGGCCTTTCGTCTCCATGTATGTTGCCGATCAGAAGAGCTATGTTTCTTATATCACTAGAAAGATGCACGTGCCTTGCAAGTGATTACTAATATTTTTTAGCTGATTTGAGGGCATCAATTAATGTTCTTGTCTTCTTTGACTATTATACCTATATATCTACCCATTTATGTCGAATTATGCACAAACCGATTCTTCCACCTCATCTGCACCTCAAAAAAGGGCATTCTCGAGCATACACCGGCCGGCAGCAAGTTAGCAAAAATGCTCATGTTCCAATTACCTGTCTCCATCACGGATTCAGCCACTGGCAGCTTCCACTGGTTCTCCGGGATCGGCCCTGTCGCGAGCAAATATAAAGGTGTTGACTGATGGAGCCATTTGTCCTGCCAGAATTTGACTTTTTTTCCATTACCAAGGGACCATCGGACTCCTTTCATCAAATCCGACCACCCTTTACTTATTGCCTTCAGCATTTTTGAGCCCTTAGGAAAAAGAAAATTCTCTCCCATCACTGTTACATTAAGCTTGTATTTGGCCGAAATCAATCTAACCCATAAGATATTCGGCTTCGTCAAAAGGTACCAACCTTGTTTCATTAAAAAGGTCTTATGAATCTCCCATTGGTTCCCCGCTTGTTGAATAGAATATGATTCTTCTTCTGATTAGGAGACAGGGTAGACTAAAAACCAAGCAAATCGGAAGCGGAATCATAAACTTCGTAGAATCTTCTTTTTTTGTAACACGTGTACAACATTTCCTATTCATCGATCTGCGCCTGCCTTTATACAGTTAGATACAAAATTATCGGGGGTTTAAAATTTATTTTTATTGAATTTATATTTAAATATTGGAAATTTTCCATCAACTTAATAATATATATGATAAATTATAAAATATAACGGTCACTTAAATGTAACATATAATGACATTAATTAAGAGCTCTGATTAAATAATAAATAAATAACTAAATTTATATGTTTTAACTCTATTATTATTTAAGAATAGCGACCAATTTATATATAACAAAATATGAAAATTTATTTGAATAGCAATCATGAACAATAACAAGATTGAAAATACTTTTATATATGACAAAACATGGACATCTTATGTTTTCTTGAACAATATTACATATGCATTAATCTTTTTATATGAACATTCAACATTTTACTAAACAATAAAATGGAGTTAAATGAATTATAAATTAGTGTCTCTTTAATGTAAAATGCTCGTGCTAATTTTGAATGAACTAAATATGCATATAAAATTTTACTAAACAATAAAATAGATTTAATTTTAAAAAGTATTCCAAATATCAATTGATTCACGGGATAAATTCTAATAGCAAAGAAAGTTATCTCAGTGTTAAAATCCAAAGGGTGGACTTGCTTTAAGGAGAGACGTGTGGATCCCTATGGCGATACAAACTAAGTCGGTGATAACCACATACCCGAGAATCGATTCCCACTCCATCGTCGCTTTACGAAGAAAATAAATAGGTAATTTTTGAAATTCTCAAAATTTACTTTTACTTGATTTTAAAAGATGTCGATCGTCACATTCGCTACTTGAGCCGAGGGATTTAGTATTATTCGATAAATGCTTGTTTATTTTGTTTTATTTTCATTATGTTTCACCCCGTACGGTATAGCGAACCCAACATAGCAGCCCGGTGGTGGATACTCATACACATCGGAAGGTCAAGAAGCAACAGACTTCCAGTCTTCGAGCTCCGCACTGGTGGAGAAAAATGTGGAGCCATTGAACCCGGGTAAAGTCGTTGGGTTACGAATTGAAAAAACTCGAGCTTGAAGGTTTGGCCGAGGAGGAGATTCAACCTTAATTCTCCTCATCAGTCTCATCGGCTAGCTCGAGAAATCGACGAGTGGATGGCTCGGGCCAGGAGGTGGAAGGACCAGCCTGGGAGGTAAAAGGTGTTGGTTGAGAAGGCCCAAGATAAAAAGGATTAGAAGGTGGAGAAGGGTATATGATTGATATGGGGGTTGGAGCATGAAGGGCATCCACATAAAGGGAATGAAAAGTAGAAGGAGAGGTCGAATAAGTGGTTGGAGTGCTCATGTTTTGGCCGATCGAGGCGACATCGGAATCACTGGTTGTGTGTAAATCTAAACATGAAAAAAAAAAACGAGAAGAAAAATTTAGATCTTGGATGAAGGAGATCGGATGAAGAGCAATATGTGATCTAAGGTTTTGCGGGGAGGAATTAAAAGGAAAATTACGCATGCAAAATTATTAAATACAGGAATACTCGACTTACTCACCGACATGCTGAATTTTGGTGTCGATCGGAGATAAAAGGGACAAACTGCAGTGGTTGAACAAGGGATGAAGCTTGTTATTGCTTGAAAGATGAATAATGCTACTTGTACCCCTTGGTGTACCACTTGGTTTACATCCAAGGGGTACATGTACCCGTTTACCCTTAATGAATAATTTACTAAATTATTCATTAAGGGTAAATGGGTACATGTACCCCTTAGATGCAAACCAAGTGGTACACCAAGGGGTACATGTAGCATGATCCTTGGAAGATAGCATATGGCAAAAATTTGAGTGTGGGTGAAAAATTCAGAAAATTCCACAAAGGGAGTATTTGTAGGTGAGAAAGGAAGAATCTCATCGGTCGATCTACATTGGCTTTTGGATCTTGGTGAAAATGGACAGGTAAGATTTAGAGAGGCCAGGTGAAAGGACTGTTCGACCTTCACCATTGGATGGTGGTTGTTTGTCCCATTTTTGTTGAATTTTCGTTATTATTTTCTCATTCTTTTTCCCCCATTTTGAGTCATTTAGTTGGTTTTAGTCCATTTTGTCGTTTATTGTGTGTTTTTCTTCATTTCGGTTTTCTTTGTGTTTTCCGTATATTTTTCCGGTTTTTCTTGGTTTATTGTGTGTAGGTCGAAAGTCTCGGGAAAACTGGATTTCAGGCGGAAGTTGACCGTGCAAGCGTAATTATATAGAGCTTTCCGTTGGCATCGCACGGGAGAAAACGGAGTTAAATTTCGTTTCCAATCGAACCCGCACGAACCCGAAAAGCAAAGTCGAGGAAGTAGTCACAAGCTCGTCCAGGCCCAGCACCACGCCAGCTCCACGCCGC